TTATGACCTTATGATCTTATGACCTAGGTCATATGCTCATATGACCAAGGTCATATTGCAAATATGTTATGACTTAGGTCATAGGCCAACACTGTTTTAGAGAGAATACATCCGTAGACATAATGTAATGGATGTGCCTTCAGTTTTTTTAACGGCAGACTGATCCATCTCTTGTCTTCAGTTTGCTAAGAACTGACCCACATCAAATGGAGAAAAAATCCATAAATAATTCTAATTAGTATTTTTTAAAAAAAAACTAATACTTTTTTCGTTCATTACCAATAGCACCAAATTTCAATAGCAACGTCGTCATCGTCATCGCTAGTACCACCACTGACTGATAATAAAAATTTACGCGAATTAGTCAAAAACGCATTATCTAACATCGACTCAAATATCTTGAAAAATAATTGCAATAAATCTAAAGATGGAAGAAGGCTTTTAGAAAGTGCGTGGCAAGTTGAATTGTACCGTACAATATATGATCATCTTCCGGAAAATGTAACAATATCTGTAGAAGTGGGTAAGTTATTTACCAATGATGGCGTCCTAGATTTATACATACCGGAGCTCCAATATGCAATAGAAATTCTTATTGATGGGAGTTCCCTTCAGGAACACTATAACCGATTCGAAAAAGGTATTTAACTTAGAAAAAATCAGATTTTTTATTATGATCTGTGACCATACTAACCATTATATACTAACCATTATATAGGAGGAAAATACTCCGATATTCCTATAAAGTCTTTCCTTTTGCTGGATATTCGAGAAACGATCGATATAAAAAAAAAATATAAAAATACGTGGCATATTTTGCCGAATAAAGACTACACGAACTTACACGTTATCGAAGAAGAAAATGAATTTGTTATTCCGGTTAAAAAAAATCAATCAAAAAACGATTTTAAAGAGGGATTAAATCATAAAATTTATTGTTTCATACTTTTTAATACTTTATTATTGGTATTAATGTTTATGATATTAATTTACGATAACGACAGGATTTAAATACATAAAAGTTCAATTTGATCTCGCAAAAGTGATGTCTGGTTGATGTGGTGTAAATGTGCCATCGCTACACTGGTTCCAATCAGACAACACAACCCCAACCCCCCAAAACCAGACCAACTCGCTTGCAGCCATTTTAATGATTATTCCAATTTTCTTGTGGAAAACAAGACGATGTTAAATGAGTTGAAATCGCATAATCAAGTTGACAGTTTTGATGATTCGAGATAGGAATTGGTTCAAATTTTATAATAAAAGTATTATTTTATGATTATAACCAAATTTCTTAGTGAAATAAAAAAAATATATGAAATAAATGTATAACAGAAACTAATCAAAACGGAGCGGTTTTAGTGTTTGAGTTTTTTAGATTATCCCCGTACTTATTATTCCATTCACGTTTATTTTACTATTGGTGGTAGTCTTTTTTTTACACTCTATAACGGTTAATATCGTTACCAATAATACACCCGCTATAGCTATGCTAATGATTATAGATTCTACTATCTCGTTAGTCATCTTTTTGATAAAAAAGCTTTTTTTGATAACATGTTTCTTTGTAGTCAAGTTTACTTATAGTGGTTAATCTTTAGTGTATTATATTAATTGGTATTATTGTTCATATAATGTAATTAAAAAAGTATATCACGTATTAATGAACATTGTTCTACCGTATAAATCATCAAAATTTGAGATAAAACATAAAAACCCTTTTCAATTTGCTGTATTATTTCAGATAATAATACTTCCTTTATGCTAGTCCCAATCTGTATTGAATTTAAGACAAAGACCTTTAAGTATCTGCGAATCTTTGTCTCAAGAACAAGGATTTATTGTTCTAAAATTATAAGATATTAACATGTATGAAAAAATCTAAACAAACGAGTAAAAAATAACGAATCGTTTTAAACTCCCAATTTTTGTTTCAATTTTGTTGTCTACGTATGTATTCCCTCTAAAAAAGGAGATTCATTTATATTGTAAATAATCTTAGCGTTAGCGTAAAACGAAAGATCAAATATGTAGTGTTCCCATAAAGTCGATTTATAGAAAGACCTACTATTTTTATTTAATTTTTTTATATTATCATATTATTTATTTTATTTTTACTTGTATTTGTATGATAACTATTAGCGCTAGTATCGGTATTAGACAAAGAAAAAGATACTGAGTTTTGTTGTTTTTAATAATCATCATAATTTTAGAATCACTTTTTTTGAATGCAAGATGTATGTTTGTATTATTTAACGTCAACTTGATATTGAAACAATCAAAGCTAATATTTTTATGATATAATTAGGTAAATTGAAGAAGTTCATGGAACGTATGATCCCCTTGAGTGATAACTTTAATAATAACAATAAAGTAATATTTGTATATAAATGAAATAATAATATAAATGAAATTTCAAGTCTATCACCACCGTTACTATTACCGATTATTACCATATATCAACCAGAAGAGAAAAATTGAAAGTAGAGTGAAATCCAACCAACCAGAAGTGAAAAAATAAAATTAATAAATCGAAAGAAATATAGGTTCGCAATATTAAATAATTTCTTTCAGATTGAATAAAAACCAATTTCTGTTCTTTTGTCGAACTGCTGTAAACTCAATCAACGAATTCTTCACAAAGCGTAGCGAACTGATGCTAAGGCCTTCCCTCAACTTTTGATTCAAGTTAATCAAGGTATTAAACATGTTCTTCCACAATTAGTATTAAAAATTTGCGCGTGATATTGTTGATTTTTCACGTGCCTTTTTGAAAAAAGAACTAGGTATTCTATTAGTGAGGTAAGAAATGCATAAACTTTTTAGTAAACTTATAATAAACAATTTTTATCATTATATACTAAATCAAAAAAAAAAGAATAATGAATTAGCATACATGTATAATCGATTATAAAGCACCATTTTTTCTTACCGTTACCATTTATGTGGGGAATGAATTAGGGTTTCCCGATATGATCAGGGAAACTTGTATTATATCTCCCTAATCATATCGGACTGCCCTAATGATAATCCCTTCAAGCCAATCTTAAGAAAAATAACAAAAAACTTACCTTCAATACTTACCTTCATCCAATTACTCGCATGACCTTTTCATCATAACGATAAAATAATTTATTATAAATTTGCTAAAAAGTCAATACAAATCTTACCTCGCTAATAGTCAACCTTTTTCAGAAAGACGCGTGTAAAATCTAACAACATCTAAAAAATGAGTTCTGCAAATTTTTAACCCCAATTGGTCCAAACACATCCACGCCAAGAAAACGAAAACCAAAAGATCGTAAAAGGTTTCAAAGCACCAACTGCTTTGCCAAGTTATGAATTCATGAAACTGAATTTGATCAACAATTCGAAAAAGAATCATTTATTTTTTACTCTTTCTTCTTGATCGAGTTTCAAAGTGCTTCTTTATTTTTTCTAGAGCATCTTGTGCAGCTCGACGACCACTCTTTCTGCTGGTGGTGGTGGTGGTGGTGGTGGTGGTGGTGCTGGTGGTGGTGGGAGTATTGGTGGTGGTGGTGGTGGTGGTGCTGGTGGTGCTGGTGGTGGTGGGAGTATTGGTGGTGGTGGTGATAGTGGTGGTGGGAGTGTTGGAGATGGTGGGAGTATTGGTGGTGGTGGGGGTGGGTGCGGTGGTGGTGATAGTGGTGGTGAGAGTGTTGGAGATGGTGAGAATGGGTGCGGCTGCAAGAGTGTTTTTCTCCCTTTTTCTTTCTAACTTTAGTGGAAAGGAGTGAGTGGTGGTAGTGGGAGCGGGATTTTCAATTTTAGATTTCTTATTGTTATCTATCTCACTCTCACTTTCATTTTTTCTTTTTCTTTCGGGTGTTGTGCTGGTAGTGGGAGCGGGAGCGGGATTTTCAATTTTAAATTTCTTATTGTTATCTTTCTCCAGTTCGATTTGAAAAAGACTTTTTCTTCTTTCGGACGTGGACGTGATGTTGGTAAACCGAAGGTAGCGATTGATCATTTTCAAATTCGGCTAAGACAGAGTGGTGGGAGCGGGCTTTTTAATCATTAATCTCTTATTGTTATATTTCTCCGGTTCGATTTCTAATGATCTTTTTCTTTCGGACGTGTGCGTGTTGATGGGAGCAATGGTAATGCTTGTTTGCAACTTCGGCATCTTCGGCAAATGCAGAATGGAGTTCGTTCTTGTTTTCAAATTTGGCGGAGGTAAGGAGGAAGTGCTGGTGTTGGGAGTGATGGTAGATGTGGTGGGTTAAGAACTAAAAAATTACATAAAGATTAGATAATTTATAATTCACAACCTGTGATTTCGAGTTGATATTTCTTCGAAATTCCAAAATCTGATTTCGTCCGATTCATCTGCATTATTTTGCATTTCTTCGCTTATGATGACTTTCTCTTCTTCTTGTCGCTTTTGCATTTCTTCGTCCTGCAAGGCTTCGAACATCGCTTCATCGAGCATCGCTTCTTAAGGTAATATATCAAGATAATTTACATAGAAAAATCAAGATATAGTATTATATCAAGAAGGTTCACACAGAAGATTCAAGATATAAGGTGATGTAATTTGAAATAGAATTTACACAGAAAACTAAATCAAAAACAGACAAGAGATTATGTTTAAAACTTATTCTTTATTTGTATATTCATTATTGTTAAAATTACAGAACAGATACAGCATCTTTAAATAATAAATTAATGTTACATAAAATTAATAATAAGATAAATA